CTTGCCGTAGCCGATTGCAGGTGGCTGGGCGCATGGCGCGCCCGCGGCCTGCGTCGGCGGGCGCGCGTGCTGGCCGCAAGTGCATCTTTTGCCTGGGATCGTGGCGGCTGCCTCTTTTGTCAGGCTGCGGTGCTGCGGTGTCCCCTCCCCCTCCTCCGGCTCCTCTCCATTTCATTCCCTCCCCTCACACCCCACATCCTCCCTGGACTCCCCCATTCCCCCTCCCCCTCCTCGCCCATACCCCTCCTACTGATCATAACCAGCGTCATGATCACCATCATCATCAGCAGCATCGTCATCCCGCATCACCGTCATGGTTGTCATCTTCGTCAGCATCAACGCCATCACCATCACCACCATCATCAGCATCATCATCAGCATCATCATAAGGTACACGAAGAGAAACAGGTGGAGGAGGAGAAGGAGTGGGAGCGGTACCGCAGTTTCGTACATCCTGCTGCTCGTGATGTATAGTGGAAATTGACTCTCGGCACGTTCAGAGACATGATAAAGCGCATGCAGGACACCTCACCTGGTCCAGACGGCATACCGTTCTCATGTTATCATCACGGTGGGGAACATGCTAGTTGTATTAGATATGCTGTCTATGCTTGCTTGCTTGCTGGAGAGGACTTGCCTGAGGAGTTCAATGATTGCCACATGGTCTTCTTGCCTGAAACCTGTTACCTCGTGAGTGTATGCGTACTTCGCGCACACCTGCTACTACTAGACCGCTCTCTCTCTCTCTCTCTTTCTCTCTCCCTCTCTCTCTCCGACACGTGCAACAAGCTAGTTTCACACGCTATCGGATTGGGCTTAGCACAGCGAGCACAATACACAGTTGACTGGGCTCAAGCGGGCTTCGTTAAGGGTACGCAGATGATCGACAACATCGTGGAAGTATCGTCGGTGCGCACACAGTATGGGGTGACGTCGAGGGATGTCAAGATTGCGGGTCGACCCTGGTAGATTTCCGTGCTGCATTCCCGAGCTTCGCTCACTCTTGGATAGATTGGGTGTTCACGGTCATGTCGCTTCCGTCTTACATCATCTACAGCATACGCGCGCTGTATAAGAACACGCATGCGAATATTGCACAAGTTGGGGGGATTTGGCACGGTTTCCTGGTCTGCTCTGGCATTAAGCAAGAGTGCCCCATGAGTGGCCCCATATCGCACTATGCCTCGATCCAGTTGTACGGCGTATATGTTGCATTCTACCTCGGCCCTTGTTTTTCATTAAGTGCTTCGCAGACGATTTGGCTCATGTCTCGAGGAACCTCTTTCAGACCCTACCCTCGTCGTTCAGATTACTCACTAGCTGTGGCAAAGCTATTGGACTGTGTGTGAATGCGGCCAAGACGTACATAATCTTGCACTGTCCGAAGGACAGTAGCACCATTCTCGCTCGTCTTCGTTAGTTTGGTACGAATGTTAGTTCGCTACAGTTTGTGAATGATGGGGCTTACCTCGGCATCCGCATCGGCATCAATGATTCGGAAGATTCATGGACACAACCTCTGGAAAAGTTCAAGTACCCGATTGCATTATGTAAGAGCCGATCGCTCGGCTTCACGGATACCACCATGAGCTACAATCCGTTGGCATGCAGTGTTTTGACATATGTTGCGCGATGTTCTCTTCCTACTGCTCGCATTCTACGTGCGCAACGAGAAGGCCTTCAAGCGGTCACCCGCTGGCCGCGGCAAGGCCTCCACCCAGATCTTTCTTGGCGCCTGAAAGACACCGGTACCCCTACCAACGCTCAGGACATTTGTAAAGAAAATCCTTCGCGCGGCCCAGTACAGAGTTGCATGTCGTTCTGGTGTATTCCAGGGGTTGGTTGACTGTAACAACGAAATCTTAGAGGGCACTGATTGGCAGCTGACCAATTGTACAGTCGAGCACGTGAAGAGGAGCCATTTCTTCAAGTTCAAAAACAAGTGGAGTACCCTATCATCGATTCCTGGCCGCCTTGCTGGCCCTGGGTGAAAAAGGCTTTCAAGGCAAGATTGTTCGTCTCCTGTCCGTACATCAACGACATGTTGCTCCCTACCTGTTGGCCCGCACGAGATACTGGCAAGGGGAAAATCGGTATGACATCAATGATGCTACGATATGCCTGATACGGCTTCTGCTAGTGACCATGAGCAATGTTATGAAGACGCTAAGCAATGGATGGGCCACTTCTTCGAGGTACCGCCAGCCAACTGCAGCATGCCGTTTGTGTTGTACGGAGCCCGCGTGTGATCCCATTGTTCACTATTGTTGTTGCTATTCCGCTCGGCGTTGCCTCTCTCATCTGTTGCCTTTGCTTCCTCGTTCATGCGTCTATGGTGGTAGCCGCGAGCGTTTTTTTCCCACACCTTCTTCGAATGGTCTCGCCCTGAAGAGCTCGTTTCTACTGCCCATCGCCATTCACTTGCTTGCTTGTAATTTACAATGGAAAGCGCCCTTGCGAAGCTCATTTGTCAGATGTGTCCCGCCGCTCGTTGCATACCCGTGCCCGTCAGATCTTGAGGAGATGCCACCAGCTTGCCCCTCTGTTCTCTACCTTGTATCTGCAGGTCTGCCACTCACACTGTTTAGCTGATCGCGCCTTGATTTCAGGATCGTAGTGTTGCCCTCTTCTCGTTTCTTGTCCGCTTGCCCTCTTCTCGTTTGCCCTCTTCTCGCCTCTTGTCCGCCTGCCTTTCTCGTCCGTTACCGCCAATGGGAGTCCTGATCATCATCATCATCATCATCATCATCATCATCATCATCATCATCATAATCATCATCCTCGCAACCACCATCATCATCATCGTCATTATGCTTCCATGCTGCGCGCCATTGCTTCTTCCTCCTCGCCCTCCTCCTCCTCCTCCTCCCGATGCCGCCACCAAATGGGCGCCGCACTCCGGAGCGACTCCGAGTGAGGGCCCCGCCGTCGGACCCAGGGCCCCGCCGTTTTTGGAGCAAGGCCCTCGCCTCAGGTCTGGGCTGGCTGTCACGTTGCGGGGCAGGGGCCGAAGCCCTGAGAGAGCAGACCCCCTAGAGAGGAAACCCGTGCCTAGAAGCACCCTGCTTGCCTCCAGGGTGCCATGGCTTTGCCATGGAAAGCGTGACGCTCCCGCACCAAAAATCAATGGACGTCCTGGGGTCTCCGGCGTGGGTTTCTTGTGGAAGGTTTCTTGTCGTCGAGCTCCTATTGCACCACAGGGCTGAGGCCCAGGCAGCCGAGGCTCGGAGAGCGGAGTCGGCCGAGCTTTTTGGGTGATCGGTTTGGGGGGCACGAGGGAGGGGGGCGCGACGCGGCCCTCGGGGTGCTCCTGGCCACCACCCTAGGTCGCAGACAAGGGCAACCCCACTTCTCATCCGAGCGATCCCCCCGATGTCTCCCCTCTTTCCTCCCCTGACCATGTCCCTCCCCCCCTTTATCTGGCATCGTTCGGACGTGTGCGTATTTTTCCGTCCAGGACCATCGAGTAGCATGCTGGGCCATCTTGCGAAACATGCGCGCACGCTGCCGGACAATGCGCGGGGAATGGACGTCCGAGCGATGGCGATATGTGGGCAGCCGACCTCCCGATGCCTCTGGCAGGTGGACCGGTCCTGGGCGGGCGCGGCCCGCTGCCACAGCGAGGGCCCCCTCTGAGTTCCTGTGCCACGACGACGACGACGACGACGACGACGACGACGACGACGACGACGACGACGACGACGACGACGACGACGACGACGGCGACGACGACGACGACGACGACGACGACGACGACGACGACGACGACGGGGGTGTCCCTTGGGCGGGCGCGGCCCCGCTGCCCCGGCGAGGGCACCCCGGAGCTCCTGCGCCAGGGCTGCGGCACGTGGCTGGCGGAAGTGGCCGACCTCCTCGAGGCTGGTCGGGCGGCTGTCGCCGTCGTCGTCGTCGTCTTTCTCCTCCGGGTGCGGGAGTCCCAGGAACGGGTTTCTGGCGCGATTTCAGGAGCGTCAAGGCACAACAATGAGGTGGGCTCGTGGTGCTGAAGTCCCGGGCTTGGCGTCTTGGCGCGCTTCAGGATCTCCAAACGGGTGTTCTCCCAACGGGGCATTTCCCTCGGTGGAACGGAGTCCTGGTAAGGCACGCTGTGGCACTTGTTTTGCAGGGTCGGATCTCCGGGAAGCACGGGGCTCCCGAGGGAAGGTCGGGAGCGGAAAAGAGGGGGGTGATGACTAGGGGGGGGGGTGGATTTCATGGCGCGGGCCATGATCCTTCCTCAGATTTCATGGCGCCTCTTCTTATTTCATTACGTCCCAGGCCCCCCCCGCTGGGCGGCGCACATGCCGCCGGTCATGATTTGCACCCCCCCCTCTTGGACACCCCCCTCTTGGCCGCTCCCGAGAAGTCACCTCGCCCACCCTCGAGATGCACTAAATGTCGTTTTTGGCCATGAACAGTGATCGAAGTCAAGTTTTTATTTCGACATGTTTTTGGCGCGTTTGCGTTGCCGTCCGCGTCTCTTGTTGACAGGACCCCCTTCTGCGAAGCGTTGCCGTCTGCGTTGGCGACTACCCCAGGACCCCCTTCTCAGAAGGGGGTCCTGGGGTAGTCGCCGGTTCGGGGCCTTCCTGGGGTCTCCACGGGCCTCGGGGCCGTCAGAAAGGAGCCCAGGCTGGAGAGCTGGCCCCAATGGAAAAACCGTGGGCTCCAGGGCGCGCTGCCCGCGCGCCAGCCCTCGTCCTCGCCATGCGCCTCCTGGTCGTGAGGCTCCACGTCCCCATCCTCGTGTATCATCCTCATCCTGATGCTCCACTCGTTCCTCCTCCGCCCGATGTGCTCCCAATTCCTGCTCTTCCTCCTCCTCCTCCTCCTCCTCTTCCCCCTCCTCCTTGTCCTCCCCCTCCTCCTCCTCCTCCTCCTCCTCCTCCCCCATCCCGCTTCATAGTTTATGATCGCTGTCCTCCTAGACGGAAATTCGGGCGTTTGTGTTTACTTCGCTTTGGTGGGCATTGCTGTCCGACATCGGGATAGCCCTCCTGAAGGGCAGCGGTGTTGAGTTTCTCCATTGTGGTTTGTCTTATTGTCTTCTCTCTTCGGCTCGTCTCTCTTCCCTTGTCCGCCCTTCCCTTGCTAGCCAGTGTCGCTCCTCCTCCTCCTCCTCCTCCTCCTATTTCTCCCCCTCCTCCTCATCTCGCCAGGCCACGGGGCGCGAGCATTTAGGACGTCTCAACCTGGGACCCTGGCCCAAAGGTCTCACCAAAGCTGCGCAAAGGTGCAGGTGGACTCATTCACATCGCTACGCGATCAGGCAGAGACTCCAGAGACCCTTCCCCTCGTCGGGTCGTCTCTCTTCCCTTGTCCGCCCTCCGCCCTTCCCTCGCTAGCCAGTGTCCCTCCTCGTCCTCCTCCTCGTCCTCCTCCTCCTCCTCCTCCTCCTCCTGCTCCTCCTCCTCCTAGTTCTTTCCTTCCTCTGTCCTCCTCCTCCTCTCCTCCTTCTCTCCTCCCCTTGTTCCTCCCCTTCCTCCCCGCCCTCCTCCTCCTCCTTTCTCTCCTCTCCTCCTCTCCCTCCCTCCTTCTTCCTCCTCCTCCTCCTCCTCCTCCTCCTCTCCCCCTCCTCCTCCTCCTCCTCCTCCTCCTCCTCGGCGCAACCTGGGGGCGGGCAGAGTCTGTCCACCACCAGCAGTGAAAGCAGGGCCGAAGGCGCACCTTACAACCGCCTTCGGCCCCGCTGGGCGGACACGGCTCCCTCGACCAGACGAAGGCCCACGGGCGTAGAAAACCTAGACACCCGCCGTGGCCGCCTGGACAGGGAGCCTGACCAAGGACTGAACTCGATAGACTTTGCCACTGAGCCTGAATTCACCTTTCGCCAGCCTCTTCAACGTCTTGCGAGCGTGGTCCGTGACCTCGGATGGGCACGGGCTCGCCAAACCAGAAAGCCTCGACACTGCAAAGCACGCGCAACGCGTGCATCCAACCACGAGCGGCCCACCTGACAGCTGGAACTTAGCAAGAGCATGCATCTTACCAGAGCAGCTCGCCTGAGCGGCCCGGACTCGACTTTCCAAATCGGTGGGGACGGGATCCTGGACAAGAACCAAATGGGGCACTGGGGGCAAACCGCGAGCATGCTTCTTGGGGTGCCCACAGTCCTCGAGCCCCTCTGAAAGACGCCCGATCCAGGAGCCCCAGACATGCAAGACGTTGCATCGGGCCTGAAGCTGGGCGACGGCAGCCCCTGAGACCCTGGCAAAAGAAGCAGCACTCTTGGCAGCCTCATCTGCCTTAGCACTGCCGTAGCGGTGACGCGCAGAGGTGCCTCGCCCTGCCTGCGCATCAACCAGGGTCGCGTGACCCTTGATTCTGCTGATCTCAATCCCCCCCACCCCAGTCATCCACCAGCCTCCAGAACTCCTTCCAGAGATGAGCGTGCGCTGAAACACACGCACGGGTAGCCTCTGGGCCACACACATGGAAACCATCAGCCACAAAGGCCGAATCCGTGTAGACACGCACAGGCGGAGACGCGAAGCGAAGAACATTGATGACAGCAACAAGCTCAGCAGCATTGATGCACTGCAGTGGGTCCAAGAGCGGTCCTGAGCAAAAAGAAACAACTTCCTGACGGTCCTGATGCAAAGCAACGCACCCCCAGCCCGCACTGGCCAGACTGGGATACTGAGCCTCGAAAACGGAACCGTCAGTATATATATATATATCTCTCTCCCGTGAACTCAGAGGGCCCTCCAAGCCCCCAACAAATCAGAGACCCAGGAGGACGGCGGCTCAGAGAAGGGAATGGCACAAGACACCGCTCGGCGAAAAGTGACGCCAGCACAGAAGTAGTAGCCGCAGCCTCGGCTGCAGCTAAAAAAACTGGGCTTGTCCTCGAGGCTGTCTAAGCGAGAACAAGAGCAGTGCCGATGCAGCAGGGTCCCCTCCTGCAGAGGACAGAGCAGACATGAGGGAGTCGTGCCATAACCCGCGGCCCACTGCCTCTTCTGTGGCCACTGCCCACCGATGACCGTGCTGCGGAGGTGGCCCTGCTGCTGGGCCGACAACTTACTCTTGCTGCCAAGGAGGGCCTTCCGGGGTCCCAGGATCAGCCCGTTGGCGAAGTCCTCAACCTCGAGATGTTCCGCGACCTTACGATACTGCCACGCCTCCACGGCACGAAACACGAGCTCCTGAACAGTGACGGGGCAGTAGCTCATCGAGTTGGCGTCGGCCCCATCAGGCCAGATCCAGGAAGAGGACGAAGTAGCAATGATACCCACACGCCTGAGCGAGGCCCACAGGGCGCAAAAGGGGCCCCCAATGGAGGACCAAGGGTGCTCCAGCCCCGACAGGCGCCCGTGGGCCTCACGGCGCCCGAAATCCAAGGCCTCATGGGGTAACCAACGGTGCCAGAGCGCATGGAGGTAGAACTTCACGGGTAACCAAGTGGTCCTAAAGATGGGGTCCAAGCGGGGCACTGGGGAAAGAAGAAGGCTCAAAGTCCGAGACTTGCCATCCTGACGGTGGTCCTGCAGCTTACCAGCCGCGCCTCGAAGAACCTCCAACTCCTGCCCGTTGGTACCCATGACGGACGCTCCGAAAAGGACCGACGACTCCAGAGCAGCTCGAGCCATGCGCCCGAGCACGCGGCGACGAGGCTTGGAGCCTTTAAGGAAACCCATTCGGACCAACCTAGGCCTCATGCAAGCGACACGCCCACGGACCGTGCCCCGACTAGCCACCCTGCCCGAGCCGTAGTCCACGCCAAGATTACGCTCAGACCTGACGGGCAGGGGTTGGAGGCTCTTCAACTTGGCTGCAATGGAAGCGCGAACCGCAGGGAAATTGCTCAAGACGCGAGACTGCCGAGAGCGAACTTTAAGTCGACCTGGCGCAGCTGCTGCAACAGGTGCTGGCCTGCGGCGGTGATGTCACCGACCACGCGGGACTCGGTGCCCCAGCGCATGAGGCCACAATCGTCAACGTTGACGGACAGCTGCACGGCAGGGCAGGCAGCCTGCACGGCATCCAAAGGGCCTAAGAGAATCAATTGCAGCATACAAGTGGCAAAAGTACATCCAGGCACAATCGTTTGTTCAACACAAAGGAGAGACCCAACAGCACCCCCAACATCAAAAATGCGCGGAGCGCGATAGATTTGGACCAAGAGATACAATTGCCACAAAGGAAAGCTAGTGGCCGCCGCGGCGGCCAGCAAATGATGATGCTGAACCAACTCAAACGCCTTCTTTAAGTCGAGCAACAGAGTGGCACACGCACGATCCTTATAGGTAGAGTGCTCAGACCAGGCCGCTTGGATCCAAACGCATTTTTCAGAAGCCCTACCGTGGGCGATCCAAAAGAAAGCCCTGAAGTTGGCGGCCTGCCACATCCTGATGAGAGGACGTCTCAAGCGACACTGGACCCTAGCCAAGACGTGCAAGAGCCCCAAAGGCCTGACACCACCAGTCTTCTGAAGAATGAACACAATACGGTTCCACATGCTGGGCCACTCTCGCTTATGCTCAATGCGGTGCACAATGTCACACAGAGCCTCGAGAGCAGCAGGCGGCAGCAGCAGAAGAGAGCGAGGGGAGATCTGATCGAACCCCGTGCCCGACGAGGGCTTGAAAGACTTGAGAGCTCGCACGAGCTCGGCCACCGTGGGCCGCGGAGGGGGGTCCCCGAGCTCAGGCCAATGGAGAGGCTGGTGCTCAACCCCGACTTGCCACCAACGCTTCCACTCGTCTTCGAGAGCTTCGATCGACTCGAGCGAAGTGCAGGGTCGAAGAGCGCCGTGACCCTGGGAGGCAGGCTGAAAGGGAGTGGGGAGGGCCGAAAACTTATACAAAGCGGACATGCCCCCAGACGAATGCTCGTCAACCCAGCTCCCCCATTCACGTTCCTTGGCCTGAGCGCAGGCCTGTCGAAGCCTCGTCGCCTCGCGGCTCGCAAGGTCGGCGAGGCACCGCGCCGACTCCACCGGGAGGAACAAAACCTGCCTCAGCATCGCCGTCCAAGCGGCGACCTCGGCCGTCTCTGGTAGACGGTGAAAGCGAGAGAGACGCCCAGCAGCTGCGACAAGCTGCGACCTATGGGCGCCAGCAGGCGACCTACTGAGATCAGCCAGCACATTCTGAACCTTGCGCCACCAACAGGCGAGAGGGGACAACTTAGGGAACCGAGGGGGGTTGGGGGCCGACGGGGTTTTCCACTTAACCTGAAGCGGCTTGTCCCTCCCCACATACTCAGCACACTGGTCCCCAGAAATCTATATATTTTTATATATAAAAAAAAAAAAAAAAAAAAAAAAAAAAAAAAAATGGCCTTCAGCAGCCCTGGGAAACGCGCCCCACTTATCCTGGATCTGGAGATCAGGATCCGAACAAAGCTCCCCGACGTGGTCCCAGGGGTCAACCTCAGGAGGGGGCCCAAGACAACCAATGGGCAACTCCGTGGGGAACCCCTTAGGGACCTGAACGAAACGAACACTACACAGGGGCTCGACCGAGGGGAAGACGAGCCGAACAGGGAGGTGGGGAGAGATGGGGACGTTCTGTACAACTCCAGCCCTAGCCTGACCTGCAATCTGGCGCGAAACCACGAAGTAGTCGATGCAGCGCATGGCGGGCCTGCACGTGCCCTCCGTAGGCGCCGCGATGACGGCGTCGAGAGCATCGACCCACGACGTCTTGACTAAATCGCTTGGAGTACAATTCCAACCGCCACCGACGATGAAGGGCATGCCAGCAGCCTTGAGCCTGGCTCCCACACGCGAGAGGATCGCCCAATTCTGCTCGTCGATGCCCACAGAGTGCACCAGGTACAATTTAACGATGAGGAAGCCGCCACGCAACATGCCGCCCACATGCAAAGCCGCTGCACGAGCGGCCACAACCTGGCTGTCGAAATTCTCGAGCGGCGCTATCCCAACACGAGCAACTGACGCCGTGATCAGCCCACCAGAAGGATTGCCAGCTGCGGGAAGCGCAGCCGTAGCAGAGGCCGACCAACCAGCAGCACGCATCTTGGACTCAAGAGCCTGAGAGGCAGCGGGCAACATGCGGGACTCCTGCATCAAAAGGACATCACTGTAAATAGACTCCGACAGGTACGCGTCGAGGCCGACCTGCCCGCCGACGTTGGCGGTGATGATCGACCAAGTATTCTGCGCCTTCCTGCTAAACTGACGGCCGATCTGCCGCAGCGGCAGAGGTACCGATCGGGTCGTCGAACGGGGTGCACTTAAACTTCTTCTGCGCCGCATCATTGAGCCCACCGACGATGTTGTCACACTGCTTGCGAGACAAGCCCTTGGACTGCAAGAACTTATCCCATCCCTCGCCGGTGGTGAGACGCTGCAAAAAGGATGAGAAATGAGCGGAAGCTTGCTGGCCGCCAGCCGCTCCTTGTGCCGAGTCGCTTCTCCCGACACCCCCCTTCGCCGCCCCCCCTCCAGACGGCGCAAGGGTGGCAGGCACAGCGCCTGGCGCAAAGGGCGAACCTGCCGCTCCGAGCGCGTCTCCTCCAAAGACGGCTGTGGCAGCGGCGGCAACGTCAAGGGCCTGCGGCTCAGAGACAGGAGCGTCGCGCATGCCGTCGTCACTGTCGCTCTCGGCCTCCTCACTGCCATCGTCGGCGGGGCGCAGCATGCCGTCACGAGTAGCAAGAAGAGAACGCAGCGAGCTCGCAAGTCCTTTGTCCATGGCCTCGAGCTGCAGCAACAAAGCGAAGGCAGGATCATCAGGCAGAACTTCGGTGAGACCGCCGCCAGGAGGCCGAGCCCGCACAGGACCGCTGCTGGCAGCAGCCCAGGCCGCAGTGGCCTTGGCCGCACACGCGAGCTCATGCGCCTGCACCTGCTCGAGCTTGGCCTTGAGCGCCACGAGCTCCAAAAACTTCTCCTGCACGTGACCCTCGAGCTTGTCGACCTTCTGCTGCACCTGCAACGCCTCGCGCTTGGCCTCGTCGTAAGCCATCTGGGCATGCTTGGCGACCGCCTTGGGGTCGCCCGCCGCCAAGGCCCGCTGGGCCAAGACCCTGGCCCGCTGTGAAGGGCCCAGGAGCGACTTGGAGGTCTCGAAATCAGCATCGGACATCTTGACGAACACGGAGAGCTGAGAGGCATCGAGCAGCGGGATCTTGGGCTTGGCATCCTTCTGCCGCGGTGGCCCGTGAGCCCAGTCCCCTTGCGGGGGCGGAGCTGGGCGAGTAGCGGGCATAGGAGGACGCTCAGCACCACACATGTAGCAATACTTCTTGAACGCAAAGTTGTTCTTGAAACCGCACTTCTTCTTGGGACAGCACCAGACATCGCCACCGCCACGACTGGTACCTCCCATGAAAGCTTGAACCAGCAAAGGTGCTCCAACAGGAGCTCACAAAATGGAGCCTGCACAGGGCAGCGCGTGTAGACGGTGGGGGCCGCAAATCCCCCTCGCCAGTGAGGCCAGGTCCTGAGCCAGAGAAACGCTACGGACTTGAGCCAAAATGGCTACGGACCTCCTCCTCCTCCTCCTCCTCCTCCTCCTCCTCCTCCTCCTCCTCCTCCTCCTCCTCCTCCTCCTCCTCCTCCTCCTCCTCCTCCTCCTCCTCCGCCCGCCCCCATCCGCCCTCCCCCCCGTGCCCTCCTGCAGCAGGCTGTCGATGGTGGGCATCTGGCGGAGCCGGAGGGACTTGAACGACACCATCCCGGGGGCGCCTGTCTCCGCCCGCAGGGCGGGGGTCGGGACGCCACCCGCTGCGCACACATGCCTGTCCCGCCGTCCCTCCCTCCCCCCCTACGGGACTCCATGGCTGGGGGAGGGGGACGGCGCGGGCGTGGGCAGGATGGGGTGGTAAGAAGGGAGAAGGAGGAGGAAGAGGAAGAGGAGGAGTGGAACAGCAGGAAGAGGAGCAGGGGCCCCAGGAGGAGGGAGGAGGGAGGAGAAGGAGAAGGGAACGGGAGGAGGGGGGGGAAGGAGGATGAGGAGGAGGACGGCATGGGGAGGATGGGGGACAAAGGATAGAGGGAAGAGGGAGGAGGGAGGATCGTGGGACTGACGAGGCACGGAGAAGAGATGAGGGAGGAGGGAGGAGGGCTAAGGAGGCGAGGGGGCAAGCGGGGAGGCGGGTGGAAGAGGGCAAAGGTCTTGAAGGTACTCGGTGTTTGCAGGAGGTCCAGCGAGCTGCAAGGCGTTCAAGTGGTCGTCGGCCTCCTCCTGCTCCTCCTCGGTCGGTCAGTCGGTCGAGAGGCGGGACGACGAGTCGATGCCTAACCACAGATGGGAAGAAATAGAGATAGGAAAATGGGCGGCGGCGGCAGCGGCAAGCGGCTGATGCCTGCGCTCGCGGCGCAGGTGCTCGTGCCGAGAGGCACGTGCACTGGAAGGCTGGTTACTACAGTTAAAATGCGCGACACTAAAGACAGAACAAGGAAATGTAAGGGGCACATGGATAAGTGAAGACCTTCACCCAAGAGCATGGGCAACTGACAGCGTCGAGTGATACAACTCAGGTAGATCGCGGCCGCCAGGTACTGCCTTTTAGTGAGCGTACACTAG